AGACAGACACAGAGACACAGAAAGAGATAGGGAGAGAGACAGACAGAGACAGAGAGACAAGAGAGACACAGAGAGGGGAGGAATATAGAAAAGGGGAGAGAGAGAGAGGCAGACAGAGAGGCAGAGAGAGCATGTTATGTGCCAGGAGCTATTAGGGGGCTAAGTGCTAAGACATGTACATGGGAAAACCTCTAATACACTTCATTGAAGCGTCTTGGCTCAGTGTGAAAAGCTCTGATGCTGGAGACAAGATGTGGGTTTCAATTTCGCCTCATCCATTTCTCCCTATGTGACTAGGGATAAATCACCTAGCCTGTGTGGGCCTCAGTTTCATCATCTGTAAAATGAGTAGGTTGGACTAGAAGGTGTCCGAAGTGTCTTCCAGTTCTGCTGAGCCTATAGAAGGCTTAGATCATCACCTTTGCGCCAAGAATGTGGGTTCAGAACTCCTTAGATGGTTGGCCAGACCTGCGTCTTCTCCCCATTTGCCGGCATTCCCCCCTCAATGAATTTCATTCACCCTCCCGTTGAGGTCACTCTCCTTATAAAGCGAGCCTCACATCGCGTACACTGCTCCCTCCTCTCTCTCTAAAGCCCTGGCGTGGCTCCCAGGTTCCCATCTGTGATTTATTTTTGGCATCTCGGCCCTCAGTGATCAAGAGGCCGAACCCAAAGAACAGCTAATCGTTTTCCTCCTGAGTCCAAGGTGGGCCCGATGAGCCCATCCCTCTTCCTGGTCCGGCCCTGTCTCAGCCATCGAGCAATCTGGGCTCGATTATTGGAAACGTTCTCAGGGCCTGGCTAGGAGGTAACGGTGGCAGGAGGAGGCAGCTCAGTGATTGGTGTGACCATCGAGTCCTTTAAAGGAAATGGCAGCAGTGGGCAGAGGGACGGGCAGTGGGTAGGAGAGAGTGTCTGCTGCTCAGCTGAATGCCTGAACTGTTTCTGACACAGGGACCGTCCTCCCGCGGAGCACTGCTTCCAAGTACGGCTGGATCGACCGTTTTCTCTGGGTATGTTGAAGACCGTTGAATGGCTTGGCTTGTGTGTGCAGCTTGGGCTCAGACCAGGGCTGAGACTTGTGGGCGTTGTGGACTTTGGTCTGTGATCGGCTTGGGGCAGCCACGCTCTGAGACTCAATTTTCCCGGTGGGACGGGGCAAGCCTAGGGTAAAGACACTAACTGGGGTCTCTTCTCCCTCTCCTGCCCAGGTCTCAGAGCTGTCCGTCAGGGAGGGGAGAAGGGGGGGAGGGGCAAAGAAGGGAGGGAGAGAGAGGGAGGAGAGAGAGAAGAGGGAGGGACCGGCAGGTAGAGAGAGACAGGGAGCCAGAGAGCAAAGAACGAGACAGACACAGGGACAGAGGGCAGCAGGGTCAAGGAAGGGAGAAATAATGAATGTTTTTGCTCTTGAATTGAGGAAGAAAGAGTTCCTGCAATGCATTTCTCTTTTTTGAGGTCAGAATGACATTAAGTCATCAAAGAAGGAGGAAGCATTGGCCCATTCTGGCTGGGACTTCCTGTGGCTGTGCAAGGAGGAACCGGGCCAGGATCCTGACCTGTGCTGGGTGGGGACGGCTGGGACAAAACCTCTTCTAAGTAATGATCCCCTTAGACGAAGGGGCAGGGGTGGGGATAGAGGACAGGGAGGAATCACAAGGCAGAATGCAGTCATAGCTTCAGGCTGCAGGGTATTATTGATGGGTCTTAGGTGTTAGTAAACTCTGGCTTTTTTCTTTTTCTTTTCTTTTTTTCTCTTCCTTCCTTCCTTCCTTCTTTCTTTTTCTTCTTCCTTCTCTCTTTCTCTCCTCTCTTTCTCTTTCCTTTTTTTGGGGGAGGAGGTTGGTGGTAGAGAGGGTTTTCTAAGGAACCAGACACAAACCAGAGAATCTCTGCTTTCTGTGCTTGCGTCTAGATGTGTTCATGGTAGTGCATCTGTTTGGACTCCTGTTCAGAGTACAGAACCAGGATTTAGAGTGGGGGAGGGGGCAAAGGGGTCATCTAGTCTGATCTCTTTATCTTACGGATAAGAAAACTGAGGCACAGAGAGGTTAAGTCACTTGTTTAAGGTCACACAGGTAGTAAGTGTAAGTGACAGGACAAGTTTTGAACACAGGTCTGCTAATACCAAATCCAACATGAGTAAAGCAAATCCTGTGTGAGTGTGTGTGTGTGTGGTCCCATCAGGAAGGAGGCAGGGCTGGTCTCC